AAATCATCTGCTGTAAATATTCTCCTATAGCAATTTTTTTTCTCAATCAGGAAGTTAAATTGAGTTCTTCTTGCTGTGTAAGGTTAGTTATTGTTTAAAGAAAGTCTCCAGAAACCTAAAGCAGTTGGAAAATGAAAAGGCATAAAACCCACAGAGGTTAATTTCACTTGAATTTCCTTGAGATAAATCACAACTTTCACTAATTGATGCCATTGTGGAATATCTTTTAAAAAAAAGAGAAAAGAAAATAATAAAGCCTTTGCAACAAAAAAAAGATGAAGATTTCACCAAAACATTTTTGTTTCATTAATGACTTCCTGAAGAATAAAAGACAGACAGAAACAGGATGCCAGAAAAGGCTGACATTGATATTTATAATATGTAGGTATGAATGCAAGTATCTGTACGTAAAGAACCCCCAAAGACTCTTTCTCTCAAAAAGCATACTCTGTTTACATGAATTTTAACATTCCCTTGCCATCAGCCTTATTAGGACTGGGAAGTTCAAACATTTGCAATACCCCAAGCCTGCATAGGGTGTAAATACATGCACATCTTCACAGTAAATGGTGGATCATGGTAGCATGGTAAAGCCTGGTAGAATTTACATATCTAGGTCCTTAGAGCTCTTGGAAAAGCAAGGCACTCACAAGAAGGAGAACAAGGGTATGATGGGGAGCTGTCAGGAGGGTTTGGGTGTTGTTAGTCAATGATGGATGAAATCAGGATGTCACCCTGAGCAGTGTTTTATGTAAAGACCAATGTAAAATCAGGCATATATCACTGTCCGGAGCTCCGTGCAGCTGGGCTGGTTTTTTTCTCAGCTAACAGTGTTTCAGTGTTTTCATAATATCTCTTCAGGCCTCACGTTCTGCTAAAAAGGGAAGCTGTGCAGAATATATGATAATTAAATGAAATTGTCTTTTTGGTTTTTTGGTCTTAGAGCTCATGGATATATTTTTGGTTTTAGGAATTAGAAAACAAACTATTTCTAGCTTTGCACCTTGTCCCACAGTCAGACATTGCTTTTGCTTATTACAGAGGAAAAGAAAATGCAAGGCAATTTATCAGGCTGGGGATGATCATAGAATATCCACTCAAACATAATACAAATTTGTGTCTGTAAAAATTGCCTCTAGGTATTTATCCATAGATTTAGTTCAAAGCAATTATTACATCATTCATGCTGCAACATTATCCCTAATGTTGATCCACTGCCTTGCAGTGACAACTAGTTATCACTTTGGAAATAGACCAGCTCTCATTTTGAAGTGCATTATGACACTAGTTTGCCTATGTCAGAATAGCGTGAGAATGTCAGCTTGCAGTTGGCAAAGTACTGTGAGGACTAACAAGACATTATTTTTAATCTGTGAGCTGCTACCTTTCAGCAATGGACTAGCAATTCTGCCCGTTGAATTTGTGACTGAGTTGCCTTATCATGGCCAAAATATTTAAAAACAATTCAGACTTCATTTGCAGACTGTAACTATCTATCTTGCATCCTAAGTTTACAAATAATGTTTAAAAATGAAAACTAGCTGAAGTGTGATCCATGGACTAGAAACCCACCATTTGAGTGTATAGAGAGAATGTGATAGCTTGCAATAGCAATCTTCTCTCCATCTTTTCAGTATCTCAGTGTGCCTTAGACCTTATTCGTTTCAACTACCTCATAGAAGTGATCAGGCTTCCCAAGACCCTCTGGTTAATAAATTAAATTGGTATGAAAACATGTTGGCAACAAAAGACATACATAGGACATATACTGTCATATGAATGAATCATCACTTCAAATTAGGAAAAATTATTTCCAGCATTAACACTGCTCATGACAACCTATTTTGGCAGCAAAAAAAAATCACAAGATATATTTTAAAACACTGCGCAGCTCTGTCTCATATAGATTCTCCTCTCCCACCCTAGTACTTGAGTGGCTTCCAGAAGCACATTAAGCAACATGACTAATGTCTGTCTCATCTTCATTCTTTCACTTGAAGCTGAAAAATTACATTATTTTTCAAAAGCTACCTGCAAGTTGATGAAATATCATCTTTGCAATGAACGTAAAATTTTTACCTTACTGTGAAGACCATGGCAAAATTCGACCTTTGCAGAAGCACACACAGTTTCTACTGGTGTAAGTGAGCAAGTGCTCAGTTATGCCAGGACACAGTTTCTATACATAAGCACTGCAAAGCACTGCAAAGCAGACTACCTTCTTGATATATGGGAGATTTGCAGACTAAAACAGCAAGCAATTCTTCACAGCAGCATTCATTTTGCTGGATGGGAGTTGATTGAGAAATTAGCACAACATGGGAGATTTCTTTCTGTCTGGAAGAAAATGGTATCCAATTTTGCTGTTGCTGTTGATTTATTATTCTGATCCTGCATGGGGTTACTGATGCAGATAGCTCTCTTAACTGTCTTTTGTGTCAAAGTGTACAAAAGAGTAACACTCCAAATTTATAATGGCATAATTTACCTTTAGCAGTAGCTCTCAAAGACTGGAGACCTGTAAGAAGACTAAAAGTTAAATAACTGTGCTGCTTAAAGGACATTAGCTTTCCTACAGAATAAATATGTATGGCTCCACATTTGGGATTTTAAGCTTGCAGAGTTATTGGAAATGTTTATACCACAGTATAAATAAAGATTGTGACCAGCATGGACCACATTGTGCTGGATGCTGTACAAGCAGAGAATAAATATCTACCCCTCCCTGGAAAGTTTGGTTGGCTTCCAACAAGCTGACTGTGAGACTGCTAAATAATACACCCATACAAAGAAAGAATAAGCTGATAATCTCAGACAAGATGAGCTGTCAGCAAACCCAGTTAAGCTTTGCTGTGACTGACTTATGCAGTGGCATTATCCTTTAAAATAAAGAGTGGGATTCCCAGTATAGCTATGGATTGTGAGGAGCCAGCATGTGAGTTGTTTATAGCAGCCTCCCAGCATATATAGGCTGTTGTCATTCAATTGCATTGGTGGGAAAGCCTGTCTCCAGCCTTAAAACAAACTTTAATTTGAGCCTCAGGTTCTCTGCCATGTTTTTGCTTTCTGGGTTGTGACTAGAGAATTAGATTTATTCAGCAGCGCAGTCAGTGTGCATTATTTCTAGAAGAAATGCTGAATGTACAAAATAGTAATCATGGTGATTTAGATGTCAAAGACACCACTAGATCAGGGCTAACACTGAAAAACAGCTTTGTTTCACTTTTCTCTTAAACGGAAGCCTATATGTTGTAGACATCAAATTATTACATTTGGCAACAAAATTTTTATCGTGGGTGTTGTTTTTCTCCTTTTTTTTTCCTTTTCCCTACCTAAACTATTTGGCAAAAGCATATCCTTTTCTGAATGTAATTTATTTCTTATGAAGAGCTTCAGTTTTAATGAAAATTTAGACATTGATATATTTATTAGACTATATTTTTCCTTTAATAAATGCTTTGATGTAGCAAGTATGTTCTCAGTGTTCTGTGTATACATTTCCATAATAACCCCTTTCCAGTTATCTGGGAGATCAAAGGCTGCAGCTCTGCACAACTTCTGCCAGAAATAAGAGATTCTTTTCTTACTCAGTATTTGTAGACTGGTCCACAGTGTTTGGTGGATTCTGTTTTCATCTGATTACAGTTGCAAACCCTCAAATTTAGTGTACATTTTTTCTTACTTAGTCTTAATTTCTGTCCTGTCTTTAGCATTGCAGTGGTTCTACATTTTTATAAGTCACTGTAGCCATAGCAGGGCCCTGTGTTAAAGGAGTATTCATATGATAGCATTAGCAAAGAGTGTGAGAAGTCAGCACATCCCTGCAGTTAGCACACACAGATGTGTCTGTGGGCAGTGTCCACAAATTAAGAATCTGGTATCCCAGACCTGATGTGTGTTGAATCCTGCTTCACTGCAAATCACTTAATTGCAGCCATTACATGTTTTGCCAAAGGTACTGCCATCTCTGCCTTGCTGTCTGCAATGCCTCATTTACAAACCACAGGACTCTTTTTCAAAGTGGTTTAAGAAGGCTGACAGCAAGCCCTGTAAAAAGATGGGATCTTCTGTAAGCCAGGAGATACTATTTCTCCTTTGGTCAGCTGGGTTTAAAGAACTGTTGTAAATGCTCAGTGAATTTTTTGTGGAAATCCTAAGTACCATATTGCAATTTAAAAATCTGAATAGAAGAGATTATTAAATATTTGTACTTTATCCCATGGGCTCATTTTCCAGTAAGAGTAATTTCCACAAGCCAAAATTTAGAAATTGTTTATGGTTTAGGCCTCAGTAGATAAAAGGCACCGAAGAAATTGTCTGAAATCCTTTCAAGAAAACCTTAATTCCTGCATCTCCAAAATAAACAACTAACACAGACTGGAATTAGTAGGATGGTTGTAACATGACTAGTGAAGGGTTCTAGCATTGCTCTTCAGTAGAGTAAAAAATTATTGAAGATACTAACATATTGTTACCATTACCTAGACATGTGACACTTTTAAGAAGGATCCTTCTCATTTCCACTCAAGTCTCTTTCAAGTTCTCTTCAAGAATATATGCAAATAAGTATTCAGATTTATTTCCATGGTTTGCTTCTACATTGTAAAGGCTTGATCAAAGTGGAATCTAAATTCTAAAATCATTACATTTTCAGTTAAATCATCATATTAGTGACATTGCTTTTAGCTTGGGAGATTTAGTGTAAGGGCTGTGGAGGAACAGGGATAGCTATGTTCAAATAGTACACGAAGATGTGGAAGAACCCACACTGTTCTTTTAAATGGGTTTTTCTGCTCAGTGTTACAGGTTTTGCACCTTTCGACCTTGATAGGGAATTCAGTTTATACACTATTTTTATTTACTTCTAAATGATGAATTTCACTAGTAAATTGCTGGGATATCAACCTATTAACACAAATTATGATGAGTTAGGAGTGCAATAAGAAGACCCTTCGTACCTTGCCCTTATGGCCAATAACACCTGCTTGTTTTCCCTGCAGAGTTTTTCCGAGAACTCCTGGAGAATGCGGAGCGATCCCTGAACGACATGTTTGTCCGGACGTACGGCATGCTGTACATGCAGAACTCTGAGGTGTTTCAGGACCTCTTTGCCGAGCTGAAGCGCTATTACACGGGAGGCAACGTCAACCTGGAGGAGATGCTCAACGACTTCTGGGCTCGGCTGCTGGAGCGGATGTTCCAGCTCATAAACCCCCAGTACCACTTCAGTGAGGACTACCTGGAGTGTGTGAGCAAGTACACGGACCAGCTGAAGCCCTTTGGAGACGTGCCCAGGAAGCTGAAGGTTCAAGTGACTCGAGCGTTCATTGCTGCCCGCACCTTTGTTCAGGGGCTGACAGTAGGAAGAGAGGTTGCAAACAGAGTATCCAAGGTAATCTGAAAGCAGAATGGGGTTTATTTTTAGCTGGAATTTCTTCTCAACTTGCCAGAGAATCCAGAGAATTGAAACCCGTCTTTTTGCTTTTCTTTTTTTTTTTTTTTAAGGAAATGATTTAATCCTATAGAACCCCTGCGAAAGAGGCAAGTGTTTTACTATCTGTTCCTCAAAATTTTAACAGAGAAACAAACAGAGGAACACAGAATTTAACATTTACAAAACAGNAGGCAAGTGTTTTACTATCTGTTCCTCAAAATTTTTTTTTTTTTTTTTTATCAGTACAAGGAGGTGTGTTTTGTTGGTTTTTATACCTACCAATACACCCACCTTAAGTTCATAAATAGGGGCAATGGTTGCTTTCAGTTCCTTCTGGGGATATTAAGGCACTACTGACTGGAAAGCATTTCTCTATGCTTAGGACACAGTGAAATACCAATATACATCAATGTTATAACATGGTAATGATTTTCATTTGTAATTCAAAGCTGGCTACATATATAAAAGATGGGGATTAGATCAGAATTTAAGTGTTTCAAGCAAATTTATTCTGCTGTTCATTAGGAAAGTACAGCCCTCACAGCATTCATTCATCATGCAGCTGGGTGATGGATTTTTTAGGAAATGTCTAGTCATGTTTCTGATGAGAAAATAGACAAACAGTGACACCTCTGAAGCTTGAGCTTTCCCAAAGGATGGTTTGACTCACATTTATTTTAGGTTTAATAATTTATCTATGCAAATATTTATGACAATTATAATCCTTGAGAGCTTTGCATAATTAAAGAAAAAACCATGCAAAAATAACCCATCTGGGCACCAAAAATGTGCCTCAATGACTTTCTCTCATACAGTATTTCAAAATCAGGTGTAATTTTCCTGAATTGGTGTTCCAGCTAGATAGTTGCTCTTTGATCTCACTGTTTCACAGTCCTCATCATGCATTTGGACCTTGAATTCTGAAATACTCTCATGAGATCCACTGTGAAATGTTCAAATACTCACTTCTGAACAATAAGTGCATGAGTAATTTGGATGCTTGGCCCATACTTTCCCATGTTTACAAGCCTAGGCCACTCCTCCACCTCAAGAGGACTGTCTCATTTGATTCATTTAATCCAGTCAGAAGGTGAGGTAGAACCTATACATTGTACAGCAGACTGCAACTCAGGCTCTCAGAAAGATGGAGCTTTTAAACTTTTCTTCACCTGTGTTATGTGATATTTTACAATTGCAAGTTGAGAAGCCATGGAGCTAAAAATGTAGTCAGGAAGGGAGAGCCTGATTTTATGCCTAGAAATGGGAGAAAAAGGTAATTTTGCACTTAAAATTCAGTAGATGAGATATGTGATCCTTGCTGGTCAGCTAGAACCAAAGTGTCTTCCTCCAAGTGCCTTCCTGAGCTTCAGGGTTGCCTTTCTGTGCTTTCTGGCACTGTCAGTTCTTGCAGTGTTTCTGAATGGTGGCAGGGTGCCACGGTGAAACCCCAGGCTGCCTAGTCTAGCTGGGGCAGCTTTTTAGCCTCCAAATGTGCAGAATGCATAAATCTGCAGCCCCAGATTTCCTCTGAAGAAAGATGATGTCCCCATGCATCAGGTTCTAAGCGAAAGTACGGAGCTCTAATGTCTCTGTTGTCTGCAGGCATTAGGTCTTGCTGGATCAGACTGTGGAGAGTAAGCTTTGTAATTCATGTAATAGATGCATAATTTGTGAATCCCTCACAGATTAAGGTCTGATTTGTCTGCTGAGATGTCACTTTCCCTGTGTACGTACATGACTGTACAGACTGTGCAGGTGTCTCCTCTGTCACATATCCAGGAAATGTTTTCCTCTCAGCCTCTGGGCTTTGGGTACATAAGTCCTCTCAAGAAAAGGGTTTATAACAAGATCACTAAATGATCCTATAATGAGGGCTGCTAGCTCTGCAATGATACAGTGCGTCTTTTCCTAGTGTCAGTTGAAGATGATAACAGTAGCTCAATAGTGCCTCTGTTGTTTTTTTTTTTTTTTTTTTTTTAACGTGAAGGAAACATTTGAAATCATCGTTAAAAGGGTTCAGTGGTGGTGCAAGACACAATAATGTCTTTATAGTGATACTCCATTAGACTACATCTAGAACACTGCGTTCAGTTTTTGTACAAAAAACACGCTGATAAACTGAAGCAAGTCCAGTAGAGGCTGCCCTCACGATCTGGACTGGATTACTTGTCCTTGAGCCTGTGGGACTGGGGCTTCTTCATTCTGGAGAAGAGGCCACTTCAAGGACAAGTAGCAGTTGCTCCTGGTGCCTCTAGGGAGGTCATTAAAGAAATGCAGCAAAGCTTTTTACAGTGGGACATAGTGTGATATGATGGGCGTGAGTTGATGCATTTTCTCCTCTCCTATCACAGCAGGCCCTAATAAAAATCCCATCCCCATCTTTCTTATAAATGCCCTTTAAGTGCTAGAAGGTTGCTAATCAGATCTTCCTGGAGCTTCTCTTCTGCAGGCTGAGCAGTCCTAAATCCCTCATGTCTTCACAGGAGAGGTGCTCCAGCCCTCTGACCATTTTTGTGGCCCTCCTCTGGACCCAGTACCACAGGTCCGTGTCTTTCCTGTGATGCTGAGGATTCCAGAGCTGGATTTATTAATCCAGGTGGGGGTCTTCTGAGAGCAGAGTACAGGTCACATTTCTTTAGGATCATTATCCTATGATCCTATTAAAAAATTAATAAAATCAATATTTTGCTGAAGTGAAGAATATACTTGATTGCAGAACTATCTTTGGTATTAAAATCTTAGTGGATTTATTCATACCCACAGCATATGCAAAACAATTTTTGGCCTTAGGGATTTTGTGTTACATGCAGCCTGGTGAGGCAGATATGAAGAGCCCCAAGTGGCACCAAATATTCAAGATTAATAATTGTCCTGTGGAAAGGATGTGATTACTCTGAGAATGAATAGTTCATTGCCATATCATAACTGTGGACTTTTATACTGGTTTATCTACTGTAGAAAATGACAAATCCTTTTCTTTAAACATAATTTTAAAAGACTACAACTGTTTCTTAGACTTAGCACATAACTGCAGCCAAAAATGAGACAGGTAAACATTTTTTGTTGCTATTTTGAAAGTCATCCAAATTCAGCACAGATTTCTTTCTCATTGTACTCTAATATTGAGAGATTCTGTGATAAGGATGCCACACTTGGATAAGTCAGGAGAAATGCATAAAGACAGAAAATGAAAGGAAGAACTGTTGCAGTTCTATAAAATCCTTTGTCCATTTTCTGCACTGGCTGGGAACAGAGGAGAATTTTCTACCTGCAACATCACAAGCTTAAAAGATTTTTTGCTTTCTATTTGTGGGCCCATTATTTCACTGAACTGTCACTGACATAGAGAAATGTTGAGCCTACACCTTAAACACCATGAGAAAGAGAGTGACTAATGAGAAAGTTGTAACATCTCCTTTGGGCCTTTATTGTCTCATCATCTTCTGGACCATTTCTGTAGAGGGTTGGTGGGTCACACACGAAGGATTTGTTCCCTCTCTAATGTCAGGGACATATCCTTTCTAATTTTTCCTCAGAGAGGTTGTAATGTCTGAAAACAATGCAGTTGGTGTATTCCTTGCAAAGGAGCTACACTTCCTTTATTTTAATGGGGTGTGCACTCAAGCGCACTCCAAAGAGGGAACACATATCACAAACATTTTCCACTTACAATAGGATTTTGCAGTTTAGCAATTTGCTTGTCAGTGAGATAATAATTTAGTAAGTCACACTTAGATAAATGGGGAGGGAGGGTAGTTAGGACATCTTATTTTTGTAATTTTTTTCTAATATTATATTTCAGTTGCAAGCAGACACAGTTGCTTCCATCTGCCTGAAGTTTTATTACACTGTTTTAGTTTAAAAGTATTTTCATGATCCCTAAGTCTAATTACAATTTTTAATCTTCAGACATTTTTAAATCTTTTCATTTCTCATTCTAATGCATTAAATTTCTCAGTGCTATGTTCCTATGTTGCTTAAATCAGTATACAGTATATTTCCACTGGCTTGAATTGACCAGCTTGCTAAATTATATACATATATTCTAGAAAGTTGTATAAGCATATGAGCAAAAAGTAATTATTTCTTAAATTGAAAATATTAACTCTTAATTTAAATCAATTTATTCATTAATATAGAAGAATTCCTAAAATATCTCAAGTTAAAAGGTCCCTGTAAAGATCACTGAGTCCAACTCCCTGCTGCTTGCAGGACTAACTAGAAATAAACCATATGACTAAAGGCTTTATCCAGATGCCCCTTGAGCTCTGACAGGCTTGGTTCCATGACCTCTTTCCTGGGGAGACTGTTCCAGTTACCAGCCATCCTCTGAGTGAAGAACCTTTTCCTGATGTCCAATCTGAACTTGCCCTGATGCAGGTTCAATATATAATATTCAAAATGCAACATCAGAGCTGCCACTTTCGGTATGTCAGAGGTCTGTTTAGTTGATTTTACCTCAGTGGCAGTAGTTTAAAGGTCAGTATAGGAGCACAGCTTCTCAGCTGCTATATTTTCTTAAGCTGTGGGTAGTAGATGTTTGTGGATGTTTTAAACAACTGTTTCAGAAATAATTAGTTAAATTTTCTACTACCTGGTTTTTTCAGTACTTTTTTGGGGTTCTAAAATCCTGGCTTTTCTGTTTTGATACCATTTGGTAAAAAAAATAGTTCTGTCCTTCCCTGTTCCTCTGTAAAAATATAGCATATTAGCCTGTTATTGTTATTAAATTTGCTTGGTATCAACTATTTTCTCAGATAAAATAAATAAATAAACTAAAGTAAACTAAAAAATCCCAAGCCTTCCTGACAAACTGTGATTTTGTATCTAATGTTAAGCTGGATAAGCTGCTGAAAATATTTCTGTAGTTGCTCTTAGCTGTGATTACCAATAATGTGATAGAAAAGACATATGCATACTTTTCCTGTTCATCTTTTACTGTGTCTGAGCTCTGGACA